AATTTAATCCTTCTTAAATAATAAGTTCAGTGAACTAATTTATTTAAGTGTGCTTTATGAAGATAACTAAATCATCAGTATATATTTATGGATCAAGTTAGAAATAATTTTAAATAAAAAGTTTATTTATAATTAATTTAAGATAGATCTCCAATTGCTAAATCCAAAGCTAAAGATTTTGAAAACTAATAGATATCTTAAGCAAAGCTTTCATAATTTGAAACTTTTCCTAATTCTCTTTATTTTAATATTTACTATTCATGATAAAAGCTAGTAAAACTGTCATAGAATTCAAAAGCAGTAAATTGCTCCATTTTTAATGCCATTACAACTATATCAACATCAACATTTATTTGTAAATTTCATCAATCAATATTAATTTTCCCCTATATTAATTAAATGTTGCTATCGATTGAATAAAATTAAAAAAACTTTATACTATCAAGATAATCTCTTATTTAATCAATTTTTTGTTTTTGTTATGTTTTTTATATTTTCGCGCTCTTTATAATAGACTTTTTAAACTCCTAAACACAATTGATTTAACTTTGTTATTTATTATTTAAAGATTCTTCCATTTTCTATTTTATTCAATATTTATCAAATTAATAATTTTCAGATTCTAACCTATTAAATTGTATTTAGGATTTTTTAAAGGTGGTAAATATATATAAATTGAAATCCATTCAGATCAAATACCTTATGATTACAAAATAAACTCTTCTAAAATTAAAGGATAAAGTTAAAAAAAAAAATAATGTATTTGGTTGCGAGAATTTATCTTTAATTAAGGTCTTATCATTCAAATCACTTCTATTTCACCAAGTATTTTTTTGGATAAATTATATTAACGATTTATAATTGTATTAAGAAACACCGAATATAAAAAATTTTAATAAATTGCCATCTTAAACAAATTTTAATTGAATCAATTATTAATTATATATATTTTCACAAAAAAATGATTTATTTATTCTATATTCTTAAAGATTTAAGCAATACATTTGTTTAAACTACAATAACAAATTAAACCTATTTTTATCAATATTTTATTTTAAACTTAACTTTTATACAGACTATTGATTCATCATATAAAACTTAATATAAAGTAATAAAAACCAATATTATTTAAAATAATTAAAATGGAATAGAAAGAAAATCTGTATGAAGTTTTCGCTTCATCAAAAAATTTTAACGAATAAATATACAGTTCGATAATTGAAATGTTAAGAAAAGAAAACATTTCGGACTGTTTAAAATATTTTTCAAATGATTATCTAACGCTTTGAATAGTACATTTTCAGAGAAATGAATTTAACACTTGCAGATAAAGATGAGAAGTTTAATGACTTTAAAAATAAAATGAAAATAATGATGAATATTTTGAAATAAGTTAAAGATCATGATTTTAATAAAAAAAATTATTCCTCAGATATCTGCGAAGAATCTAGAAAAGATTTAATTTAAAATATATCAAAAGAGGAGAAGATTGCTTAATTGTTAATATTTTTTGTTCAGCTTACATCTATCGATGAATAATTCATATAAAGTGGTTCGAACTCACTAAATATATTAGTTTAAATAAAGGTAGATTTGAAGAATCAATCATTCTAAAAAATCAGAATAAAGAATACTTCATTAATTGCAGGAAACTTTACTAGGTGCAATTTTAGTGAATCGAAATTTAAAAATGTGGATATAAGTGGAGTAAATTTGAACTAGGCTATTCTTATAAATTGTAAGTGGAGAAAGATTAAAATCCATGAACTGAATTAATTAAATGGTCATAAAAAAAGTGTGACATCAGTCTGTTTTTCTCCTGATGGAAGTACGTTGGCATCTGGTAGTAGAGATAAGTCTCTTCGTTTATGGGATATTAAGAAGGATATTAAAAAGCTGAATTGGTTGGGCATACTGGGTAAATTATTTCTGTATGCTTCTCTCCTGATGGAACTACAATAGCTTCTTGTAGTTGGGATAATTCAATACGTTTATGGGATGTTAAGACCAGAAAAAAAAAAGTCAAATTGAATGGTCATACTGGAGATGTCTAATCAGTATGCTTCTCACCAGATGGAACTATCTTAGCATCTGGCAGCAGAGACAACTCAATTCGTTTATGGGATGTTAAGACTGGGCGATAAACAGCCAAAATGGATGGTCATTCTTGGTGTGTTTATTCAGTATGCTTCTCTCCTGATGGCACTACTTTAGCATCTGGTAGTTTAGATAAATCCATCCGTTTATGGGATACTTAAACAGAATAATAAAAAACTTAATTAAATGGTCACGATGATTGTGTTTTGTCAGTATGCTTTTCACCAGATGGAACCACGTTAGCATCTTGTAGTAATGATAAGTCTGTATGTTTATGGGATGTTAAGACTGGATAATAAAAAGCCAAAATTAATGGTCATAGTGATTCGATTCGATCAGTATGCTTCTCACTAGATGGAAATACCTTAGCTACTGGTAGT